GCCCCTCAGCCACTCCAAGGGTTTCTAATTTCAGGGGTGCGATCTTATGATTTATACACGTGTGTGTGTGTGTATTTTTGTCTGCAGTTCCTGACTCAAAACGCCCATAGCCCTTGCTCTAATGTCGGGACACTTTAGGCCTCAGAGATAGACCTTAGAAGACAGAATCTCTCTCTGACCTTCCCCTACCCCCTCTCACCTGCGCCTTTTTCTCCCCAAGGCAGCCCTTAGAAACTAAAAATAGAATCTTCCCCTGCCTGTGGCCATAAAGAAATTCTCTGAACTGCCTTGTCTGATTGTGGGTCACAATTCCAGGTGGGGTCCTGCCCCATACCCAGGAGGAAGGACGCTGCACAGAGAGGCCAAGAAGAACAGACAGGCCTTGCTGGGTTCCCACTCAGTCTGGTGGTGTTAGATCCACCGTTTGGTCCACTGACATTTCTACACGGTGGTCAATCCTGCTTGTCCAGTGCATTCTCCACAGAAGGCCCCAGAGGACAGGGTTCAGTAGCTTCCAGATACTGAACACATACACGGAGCTTCCTGCAGGGTGGCGCCCAGGGAGGGCACGGAAGCTCCGCACCCCTTCCCCAGCTCTTCATCTGCATCTTTTGTAATATCCTCTATGATAAACCAGCAAACATAAGCAATTTCCCCGAGTTCTGTGAGCCGCTGTAGCAAATTAATGGAACCTAAAGAGGGGGTTGTAGGAGCTCCAGTGTGAAGCTGGTTGGTCAGAAGTTCACAGCCTGGACTTGCAACTGGTGTCTGAGTGGGGGAGGCTGTCTTGTGGGACTGAGCCCTCTCCCTGTGGGGTCCGAGGCTGTCTCCAGGTGGAAGGCGTCAGCACCAAATTGAACTACAGGACACTTTGCTGGTGTCCGCTGCTTGGCGTGTGGGTAAAACTTTCACGCATTTGGTCATAGGAGTCTTCTGCGTTGACTGTTGTTGAGAGAATACAAAAAACCCTTTAAGTGTGTTCTTTTCACTCAAGGGGTTTTAGGGAAAACAGCTGCGGGTTCAGTAGGTGAAATATTATGTCTAATTCATTGTCTTATTTCATTGTCCTAACGAGGAGCTGCGTTTTCAACTCTCAGCCATTTCTCGAGTGTAGCCCCTGCTCCGACCTTGGGTGAGCCTGCAGAGCACACTTTCTCTGGGCATCCCCAGGGTCGAGGTGGGGGTCTGGCTTCCAGCACAGCCAGGAAGCTCCTCCGCTGCTCTCAGCAGGCCTCCTCGGTCTGCTCTGCTCCGGGAGCCAAACTCACTGGTTCCAATAAGCGCGCAGCAGGTTCGCTCCCCGGCACCAGGCACATGCTGGGACCGGATGCAGTGGGTTCTGCCTGCATCTGGGCCTGGCCTCGGCTGGTGCAGGACCATGGGCTCGGATTAGAGACCAAATCCTGGATCCTGCTGGGCTCTGGCTAGGCCAGGCATGTGGGCTGTGAACCCACGTGACCTCCTGAACAACCAGGTCAAGGAAGAACAGAGCGCAGGGGGCCCGGAGGGGCAGGGCTGGCCCAGAGCCCACTGAGGCCTATTGTCTTTAAATCTCAATTTTGGGGAGCAGTTACATATTGTTCTGATGATACATGATTCAGACCCAGCGTGTCAAACACAGAAAAAGAGCTGTTCAGGGTGAAGCTGGGACAAGACCTAGACCCCCCCAACCCCCAAACACCCCAGGGACCTCCCCCCACTCCCGGGGCTCCAAGAGGCACAGCTTGACATGTACTGAAGGGAGCTATTACCTCTTTTCATTGCTGGGAGACTGAGGCTTTGTCCAAGGTCACTGAGCAAATCAGGGGCAGAAGCCTGGGTAGACGGCTGAGACTTGGAGTCTGGCCTCAGGGCTCCCCTGTTGCTGCCCACCCCCAGGTACCAAAGCCCAGGAGAGCTAAAATTGGTGTCTGGGTCCAAACTGAGCTTTGCAGAGACATCTGCTTGTCACCTAGGAGAAGGCTGGTTCTTGGTCCAGACAGAAGTTTCTCCCTAAGGTAAGGAGGGTGAGGCCCACACGGCTGCAGGGCCAGCCTCCACCCTGCCCAGCCCCCTCAACCCAGCTCCATAGCCCAGGCAGCTCTGCACGCTCTCCCCACCTGCCCCGGAGATTCAAGGTCCGGAGAGTCCTGCTGCACCTGCACTCTCCAGAGCTCCTAGACGTGTTGGGACATGGTGTCCCTTATTTTCTCTGGCATCCCAGAGGTAGGTCATAGCTGGGGACCAATTGTGGAGGGTCTGTGCATGGTGGGGAGCCTGAGGACTGGGTTTGCAGTCAAGGGCTCCCAGGCCAGCTCTGCCACTTAACCAGAAGGGGGACCTTAGGCAGTTCCTGGGAGGACATTGTCCAGTTCCCTTCATGAACTCCAAGCTCAGCCGCTGGGGTTCCCAGGGGGAAGACAGCCCACTTCTATTTCTGCTTTGGAGGATCAAGACCAACTTCATGGAGGAACCAAAGGATGGATTTCCTCACATGCCCATTTTACAGATGAAAAACTGAGGACCAGTGAGGAGAATGGCCACGTAGGGATACTGGGTAGCCCGGCTGTTCAGACCCAGGATCCCACATCCCCTCCCCTACAGGCCCCACCCAGGCTGATCCTAAGCTGGTGGACAAGGACTTGTGTGTGACCTGCTGATCCCAGCAGCTGCTCCCAGTGAGCTGGGACCACGTGCCTGAGACCCACATTCCCTCCTTTAACCCCTGCCCGGGTTGGCTCCATACCAGCAGGGATACTTGATGTTTATTGGATAAACAGACGACGAATCAGTGCGACCCTCCCAGCGGCCCGAGGCAGGTGCTCTTATTTTACACGTGAGAAACCTAAGACGAATCTTGAGGCCCGGTGTCAAGACAGCTTTGAGCTAAGATTGCACCACAGCACTCCAGCCTGGGCGACAAAGCCAGACGCTGTCTCTAAAAAAACAAAAGTCTTGCGTTTGTTCATTAACTCATTCATTCATGCATGCATCTAGCAGGCACCTAGAATACAACAGCGAGCCCCAGCCAACATCCCGCCCTTGGAGCTCACAGCCCAACAGGGAGGACAGGGCCCGGGCCTCCGTGACCCGCCTCCCCTTCCAAAGATATTTAGGTAATATCTAATAAGAGTTTTTTAAAAGTCTTATATATACACACATAGACAGACAGAGAGAGAGACAAACAGAGAGACAGAACTAGAAAACTGCTCCCCTCCCCGTGCTTGGGTTGGATTTGTCCTTCGCGGTGGGTCCTCATGCTGGTTCCCCAAACACTTCAGGTCTCTGCCTGGTTCCCAGTCCATACTCTGCGCGGAGCAAGGTGTCCAGATGCACCAAGTGCGCTTTCTCCTACCTTGCTTTTCCCTCCCAGTTTTTGATTGTTATATTTTTAAGTCATGGAGGCCACTTTTGTCTTCCCTCACCATTTCGCCCAGCTGCTTCCAGGCCAGGGCTGTCATTAGGCTGAATTTGTCCTCCTCTAGGGGTGGGGCCAGGGATGGACCAGGAGAGGGCTGTGGCGGTGGCAGAGCACCCGGGCTTGCCTGCAGGGCCATCGGGCTAGATGTCTTGTCAGCACTTTATTAGAGAACAGTTGCCAGGGAGGCATCGGTGTCTGGCAGGCAGACCAGGGAACTTTCTAAACATAAACTAAGTACAGAAAATGAATCAGTAGGTCCCAAACCAGTTCCAGGGAACCAGTGTTTGCAGTTAAAAAAATGGAAGTGTGGCCTTTCAGCCAGCTCTCACGACCCCTGGGGCCCGTGCCCAGGGGCCAGGCGGACCTGGGTTTCCAACTTCAAGCTGCGCTGTGGCCTTGATGAAACCCCTAAGGTCTCTGAGCCCCCTTGTCCACTTCTCACTTGGTCTGCCACGCCGATCTCATTCTACTCTCGCCTTTCCCTTAGGGCCCCTTCCTTTTGCCCTCTCCCCCCTCCCCTCCCGTCTCCTCCCTCACGCTGCCTAGCAGAGGCCTCTGCCTGGGAACCCTCCACACCCTGGGCTTGGCAGACTGCCAGTGAGCAGTAGGAGGGTCCCTCTCAAGGTGCCCGAGTCCCCAGGGTGAACAGGGGCGGCCCTTCGTGGAAGGGCCCAGGCTACCCCCACCCGCCGTGGGAAGAAAGTATGGCCAACCCCATTTTACAGAGGGGGAGCCCCTGGCTTGTGGTCGCCTAGCCAGCAGAGGTCCCTGGCCCGGAGGCTCCGAGCAAGGAGGGCGGATCACAAACAGCACCGTAGGTGCGACGTCCAGCTTGTTGTTCCTCTCCGTGGCTGCTTCGAGGCTCTTCTAAACACAGCAGTGTTTTCGCCTTACAGTTTCTCTCACCTGTCTGTGCGCACCCCGCCCGGGGCCCTCGGACCCGCGCTTCTTGGCTCTGAACTGGGTGGGAACACCAGGCCCAGCCGAGGCGGCAGCAGAGGCGGGAATCCGGGGTCAGGTGCTCGGCCCCCGGGGCGGAGCCGCGGCCTGTGGGCGGGGCCGCGGGCGGGCCCAAGGCGGGGCGGCCGGCGGGCTGGGCGCGCGGCGCCTTTTCCCCCCGCGGACTTCCTGCGCCCGCCCGCCGGCTGCCCGCCTGCTCCACGCTCCTGCCCGGTATCTCGGGGACCCGGGCGAGCCGAACCCCTGGTTCCGGACCGAGGTGCGCGCCTCCGTCCGTCCTAAGGTCGGTCCGGCCGCAGGGAGTAAGTCTGCACCGCGCCCGCGCGCGCGCGCGCGAGAGGAGCGGCGCGAGCCCAGGCGGAGCGCGTCCCCGCCCCAGGCTTCTGCAGGTTGGGGGTCCCTTCTGCAGGTTGGAGTCCCTTCTGCAGGTTGGGGTGGGCGGGGCTCGGGTCTGGACTCGTCCTCCGCGGAGCGGCCCGGGCGGCCTGAGCCCCGCGGGAGGCTGGGGCTCGAGAGGAAGGGCGAGGGAGCGGGCTTGCCAGAGACTCCCGAGCGAGCAGGGGCCTTACCTCCAGGACCCTGGCCTGAGGTCTTTCTCTGGCCCACCGCGGCAGGGCTGCTGGCGGCCCGCGGTCACTGGCGCCCGGGCGCTGTACCAAGCGCTTCACAGCCACTCGCGCGCGTCCTCCTCACGGGCAGTGCGTGCTGTTCCGCCACCCGGCTCCAGCCACCTTTAGCCGAGAGCACGGAGGCTGAGGGAAAGGGGAGTATGACTGGCCCAAGATCACTGAGCCCAGGAGAGTTGAAGCGCGTTCCCGCCGTCCCCTGGGGAAGCCAGGACCCGCCCCCCGGAAGAGTGTGCTGCTGCTGCCTCTTTCCCTAGGGGAGCCCGGGTGGGACTGGGTGTGTCGGGGCTGTGCCTCAGGGCTTGATGTCTGGTGTACTTGCTGTGGCCCAGGGAAATCCTCCTGTAAGCCCTGCCCACGCACCCTGCCCTCCTGCTGCTGTCCCAGCCCCTGGGCTGGCCTGGGCGAAGTGGGCCCCAGCCCCTCTCCCACAAAGGACAGCCGGAAGCTGCAGCAGAGCACTGAGCCACTGCCACCCGTCCGCCTCCCAGAGCTGCGCCTGAGGTCCAGCTGGACTGGGAGAGACCTGGGATCCACATTACTCCGTGGGCAACCAAGGGCAGGCCAGGGCTGCAGGAGTGGGGCCACTGTCCCAGGATAAACGGCATTCCTTTGCAGGTGTTTCGGGACCTCAGAGACACAGGCTCAGAGCCTGACAGCCCTGGGAGGGGAGAGCCTGATTGGCCCAGGCTTGCAGGGTCGCCGCAGGTGCCCACGCTCAGGTGCACCCTCAGCAATGCACCGCAAGAGACTGGCCTTGAGCCTGGGGTTGTGCCTGTTGGCAGGCGCAAGCCTCTGGGTCCTGTGGTGAGTCTGCCCTGTGGAGCTCTCCCTCCCTCCCCGCCCAAGATTCCTCCCTGCCTTCGCATGTCAACCTCAAAACCTTGATCCTTTCACGGGATTTCCAGGTCCCACTAGCCTCTCCTGGCCACTTGTTCCCCAACCCCAGCCCCAGCAAGACCAAACTAGTTCTGGCTTCTAAATTTTGCCTTGTACTGGCCTCCTGGGCTTTGACCTACTCTTCCCTCTGCCTGGACCATCCTTCACCTGGCGTCGATGAGGAACTCCTGTTCATGCTCCCAAATTCACCCCCTGTGTTCTGTGAAGCTCCTGGAGCTGCCCTTCACCCTGCTGTTTGTGTGGGGGGGAGCTGGCATCAAGAATATACATGCCCCAGGAATGAATGATTGCATGGGTGAATGAATGACTGCATGCAAAGCCCTGTGATACAAGGAATTCCAGGAGACTGTTCTCCAAGGTCAGCCGGACCCATAGAATGACAAGGGACCCCCGCAATTGCCCCATTAGAGGCATTCACACCCAGTTATGTGCGCCGAGTTTTCAGCCTCCACAGTGGAGTCAACAGGTGTTTTTCCTTCCCAGGGTGTCCGTTGAAACCTGGCTGCCGGTCTCCTACATCCCCTACTACCTCCCCTGCCCAGAGATCTTGTAAGTACAGATGGGACTAGGAGAGTTGGGGGCCCTGGGGGCTGCTCACAGCTGGGGAGACAGGGAGTTTTTAAGGTCACTTTGTCTGCAGTTCCTGAGTGTTAAGCTCA